CTTAAAATAAGACTGAGCAGGAGCAGGTCCCGGGGTTCCAGTCAGTACCTCGAAGAATTAACGACATCCTCAGCTTTGGAGCTTTGGCAGAATATCACTTTCAGCACATAAGACACTCATCAGACGGGAATACAAGTTTGTTTGTTTTTCTTTTTAAGAAAAAGTGCACTTTATACTGCAAAAAATTAGGGATTCTGGTGCAAAAATAACAAATCCATCTACATCAAGACGAGTATTTACGGTATCAACAATGGGGGGGGGGGGATTTATCCAAGTCCATAAAGTTCTAAAGAGCCTTTGCAACTCCGAAATTCCTATCGTTAAAATAATATTAAATCGTTAAAATATTATTGGATAAAGTATTAAAGGAAAGGAGATAAAAAGGGGAGGGAGTTACTTTGGGAAAGGATCTGTACAAATGAATCCTGACGGTTTCATCTGCAGTGGAAGGGGTGTGTGTGGGGGGGGGGAGAGTGAAATCTGGAAATCTGAATTAGAAAAAGTAATTAAACCCAAGTAATTCTTATGTCTAAACATCCTGATTTTCAGGCAGCTTTCAGACACCACCGCTCCCTCCTGCAGCAGCCGTGTCTGAGAACCCGCTGGGGGCGAGAAACCCAGGAGGAAATTCCAAAAGATTCCTGAGTCCCAACAAATTAAACCAGGAAACCCCACGGCCAGCCTATCACTGCTGCTGCAGCTTTGGCAGGGGGGGGAGTCACCAATTCCCTAATTTTCAGGGTTTTCCCATTTTTTTTTAATTTTTTTTTTCTGGTTTGAAGAAGCTCCTCCTCCTGCAATTCCTTTTCTCCATCTCACCAAAAAACCAAAAACATTTCTCCCAAAAATTCCCTCCTTTTGGGGGTGAGAGCAGAGCAAACAGTCCAGGGTTTTTTTGTGAAGTCTGAACACACCCCCCCCAGTCAGGTCTCCCCTGGAAGGAACTCTGGGATGCTCAGCAGTTCTGGGCTGCTCACGCCACCAACCCCACTCCACACCTCGAACCCTCTTCCTGACCTCTGCCATCCCTTCCCCACCTCTCTCCCACGGCTGGGAGGAAACAACCAGGCTGGGGAATGCTCCAGGTAATTAACTGCTGACAGGTTTTGAGATTCTCTCCAAAAACTGGCCCCCACAAAAAGATCACAAACGGTTTCTGCACCAGGTAAAAAAAAAAAACCAAAAAAATCCCATCCAGGATCGCTCAGGTCAGGAGGGACTCACTGGGATCATCAGTCCTTAAGGAAAAGAACCTTCCAAGCTCACAATTCCCTTTTCCCCCCCGTGGTTATGAAGCAGATCCCCTGTGTTTAATTCACCTCCTGACAGCAGCACCACCAAATGAAGGCATTTAGGAGCACCTGGAGTTCCTCCAAACCCTCGGCAGCATTGAATGACTGGAACAATCCAACTGTCACCCCAAACCTGCCCAGCACCTTGGCCAGTTCCCCCCTTGCCCCAAGCAGATAAATGACATCACACCCCCATCCAGTGGAACCTCCCTAAATTCCCTCTTCCACACCAAATACCCTCACAGCCCCATTTCTCCACATCCCCACTTTTGCAGTCACGTTTTTCCAAGTGACAGGCACAGGCGGGGGATGAACAACCCCAGCTGAATTTCCTACACTTCCACTCACTAGTACAAAGTTGGTTTTTTTGGGGGCTTGGCAATGGGTTTCCCAGTCAGTGCAAATCAGCAAAATCCTATTTATTGATGAGCTGGAGGAGGGAGCAAAATATAGGATGACACAAAACATGAGCTTTTTGGAAGCTCTGAGTCAGTTTGGACATCCTATTCCCCCAAAAAATATGTGCACCTGAAGGAAAAGTTTGGTGGATTCAACAAAAAAAGCTTTGAAATCACCCACTCCCTGCTCCCAAAAAAAAGTATTTAATTTAGGTTAGATTAAATAAAATCAGTTTAATGCCTTTTTTTCTTGCCCCAAGTTTCGCTACATGGAATTTCTCTATGACCACGACGCCCTCAAAAACACAATCTCAGGACTAATTCTCAGAAATTCCATCCCTACATCCTCCTCCCCCCAAAAAAAAAAAAGAGTATAAAATAAATTATGTTTTCTAAAGGAACTGATCCCGCGGAGCTTCACAAGAACTGATTGGGAGGAAACGCAGAGCTCGGAGCGACACCCAAAGAGAATCATCCCCCCCCCCCAAAAAAAAATAAAAATGGGATTTTTAACGCTGACACATCCAAGGCCAAGCACTTAGACAGCAGCAGGCACGGAAACCGGCTCTGGATTTTCCCCTGGAATAGCAGAGAGCACCCAAAGCAGGAATATTTATGGGCGTTGAACGGGATGTAACTCCCCAGGCTGAACAAACTGGCGTGGGAAGCTCTTCCCACGGAACTGCTGCCGTCTGAGCTCCCTTGCCGGAGGATTTGGAGCCACCAGACGCATCCAGAGGGATCTCCGGAGCTCCAAAGGGTGTGGGAACACCCAGCAGGCAGGGATAGACAGGGAACACCTCACCTGGAGACACGGATCCAACACGGAGCCCACCCAGCTCAGGGACCCCCCCCCCACGGCTCCATCCAGCCCTTCCCGCTCCTGCTGCAACTCCACACTTGGGAATTCTGGTATAACCTCACCATAACCTGCTGATCTTCCACTCCTGTTTTATCCACAGCTACGTTGGAGGGAGAATGAAACAGCTTAACTGGAAATGACTCCATCACCAAAGCTCCCGGGATACTCCTCGTTCCCGAGTTTAGCAGCTAAGAAACACCCAGGGGGAAAACTTCCCACCAACAAAGGGATAAACCTACGGGATAAGTAGCTCCACTAATCACCAAAAGAGGAAAAAAAAAAAAAGAAAAAAAGCATCAAACCACGAAGATTTCAACAAAATATTAAATAGAATAAATTACTCATCGGAAAGTCTGACAAGTGCTACCTCGGATTTGATGGGGGATGTTTCCATCGGAAAGGAGAGGGAAAACAGAGGGAATTTCCCCTGGGTCTGCCCAAAACTCTTCATCCACAGGTGCCCTCGGGAGAGCTCTTGCAGCTGGAAAAGTCTTTGTCCTCTCCCCAGGGTTACAAGGAGTGGTTTGTCCTTTGCCATCCTATTTTTCCCGGCAAACAGTCCTATTTTTCATCCTATTTTTTTCCCGGCAAGTCCAGGGCAGCTCTCACTGAGAGATACTATAACAGAGCCAGTCAGCATTGGAAAAACTAAAAGAATGGGGGTTTTAAAACGTTTCAAAAAGTTGGTTTATATATATATATATATATATATATTTGTAAAAGTATTAATTCAAATCACAGACTTCTTTCACTGAAAAGGCCCCTCAACGAGCCCGAAAGGTTCCTCAATCACCAATTTTGAGTCTGTTCCCGCTGCAACATCTTCTGGTTTTTGTTGGAATCTCGTGATTTGGCAGCAAAATCTCCACACACCACCCCTTTTTTCAAGTCCTGCTGGGATCCTGCCTGCACCCTTCCCCGAAATAACTCCTGGGAAAGTTTTGATGCCTCCGCTAAACCCCAGGCGGGGTTTCGGTCAAACCTCACCCTCCCAAACCTGGAAAAATCTGCAACTACAAGAGTTATAAATTACTTTAAACCTTCACTTTAAAACCTTAAGAGGGAAGCACCGAGAGGCCAGGACAAAGTTGGCCTTTGGCAAAGCCCTTGAACCGCTGATGATCCGTTTCAGACGCGCACGCGTTGGGTGCAGGAGGCACGTGGTCGACTTGGGGGAGGGAGGTGGGGGAAAAAAAAAAAAAAAAAAAGACATTTGGGAATATTTGGCGCGAGTTTGGCCCCCCCAGAAAACCAGATCCTGCTCCGGATTTTCCCCTGGAACAGCAGAGAGCACCCGAAATAGGAATATTTACAGGTGTTGAACACGCAAGAGGAACCCGTCTGAAGGGTGTGGGGGGAGGAGTCAGTGCCTAAAATCATTTCCCATTTCAGCAGAGCAACTGGAGACTCCTCATCCCCACCAAACTCTTCTCCAAGGCAGTCCCACGCCACTCCAGCTCTTTCCAGATGCACTTTTACCTCTAATTTGGGTCAAAGAGAGGGGTGGGGGGCGT